CTAATCATTTAGTTTAAGATGTTTAGATACCTCTGCTAGTTAAATTGGATACCACCAAAGACTTTGATTCTTTCGTCGTGCCTTACGCTTTGGATTTAGTTGGGAAGTTTTTTCTTGATACTGAAGGTACAAAGCGGAAATACCAATTTAACCTTAGGGACTATGGGATAGATAAGCCAGTGCTTGAACCAACTTATAGAAAGGAAGCAAATCAGGTACCGTAAAATTATTTAATTGGTGGAGTATGGCTTTTTCACAATTGCATGCATTTATAATATTAGCTTATTATAGATATACCACTGTGAAACGTGCAATATTGACATTCAAGGAAGTGTTTCTTGGGACGCTCACTTGAAAGGTCGCAAACACAGGAAACTTTTGAAAAGAAAAGAATGACTCTGGCTAATTGGACTGTAACCAACTCTAACTGACAATATGAAATACTACATCGATTTTCACTACAAGATTAATATCGTTTTGATGAACAAGGAGCAATTTTCAGTTTTGGAACTACTAAATAAAAGGTACTCGTCTTTGCAGCAGACACATTATGTCAGTTTCTAAAATCAGTTCTTTTCTACTTTCTTTCGCTAATTTTCATTCATTTTTTAGATTCTATAAACCAAACAGGCAGAGGACTACTGGAAAATTTGTTCCGGTAAATTGAAAAACTTTTTTTTTTGATTTCTGTGACATTGATTTTTGTTTCACTTTTATTCTGAATGGTTTGGTTTTAACTACAATTGTTTTTGTAATCCACCTTAGGCGTTTATTGTAATAGTAACAATGGTAATAATAACAATAACAATAATAATAATTCGTTTTTTTAGCTGTTTTCAAATTACATTTGGAAGCCTTTTTTTGAATGAGTTTATTGAGTTACTCTACGAAAGAACTACACGTTTTATTTTGTTTGTAAACCGAAATTTTATTTCAGGAACTCATTTAATAAAGCTAGCTAAGTTTACTGCGATGTGACACATAGCATTAAATTTTTTGAAATTTTTGTTAAGAGCTCTTATCCTTTTATCGAGAATTTAGTTATATTATTAAGAAGGAGTTTTTGCTTTTTTATTCATTGATTAGTGGGCCGAAAGCTCCTTCATAAAGTTTTTCTGATGATTCGCACCATTTTTCATAATTTCTTCAAATTAGTGAACTTGACTGGGCTCTCTAATGCTGAATTTCTAGCCAAGTGATAGGAACATTAATTGCAGTCAATAACGGCTTAATCAAAACTTTTAGTGTTATTTTTTGTGCAAAGGACAGCCTCTCCCGTACTTATGCGGATTCACCAGTACAAACAGCTTGAAAGCTACTTTTAAAGTAGAGGGTAAACTCTGAAAATAAAAGGAGAGAGTACTGGGAGAACTGTTAATTGGATTTCAAAATAGCAATAAAAAAGCTTGCAAGGCTGATTCTAAAATGATCATATTTTTTTAGGAAAGTATGAGCTAGGTTCTGACGTAAGTTGGCCATCTTTGGAGTTAGAACTGACGCCTGGCACCGACCGTTATAGTTGACCATTTAGGAGTTGCTTTTGTGGTCAAAAATATGCTCAAGTTCTACACTGCACCTCAAAATTTTGGAAGAGAGACAGGAAATGAAAAACTTTTAAGGAGAAATTAAACTGCCGAAGTACTATTTTCATCAAAAAATTTATTACTTTACGTGTTTAATTCAGGTATAGAATTCTGAAGCTTTCTTAGTGGTAACTTTGGTTAGAAAGACGAGCAGTGTGTGGAACGGTAAGAAGAGGTAAAACAAAACAATTTTTCCCTAGATGTCATTTTGGTAAACGATGCTGGAACGCTTTATAAACTGTACCACCGACTATCGTATAGGTGAAGGAGTGTGCCTTCCATGCATCTTTAAAAAATACTATTGGTAGTACCCAATGAGCAATAAAGATTTCTATTTACACCCGAGACCGCTTCTACTTCCCTCAGCCACTGGTCTTTCATCCCCAGTTGTATCCAATTCTCACTCCAAATATCAAATTTTTAAGCTTTCGTCATGACTGAATTGAAACAGTTTTAGTCCGAGTTTCATAACGAATGTAGCAGCACCTTGCAAGCAACTCCTGCTTCGAATGGCGAAAACTCGGGCATGTTTCATTTCCTTTTTTTTTTCGTATGAATAATGGCCATTGGGAATTAAACCGTACGGTAAAATTGCAATTTCTCAAAGGGACTAAGGCAGAGGTAGAATGTGGTTAAAATGCTGAAATAATTCTGATAATTAAAAAGTTTTCAAAGTTGCCAGTTTTTGGCGTTTGTTTCATTTTGGTTGAAATATTATTCCCCAGAGTAAATACCAAATTCTTGGACAGTAAATTGTAGACAAAGCTAAATGAAGAAAACTTCTTAGTTAACAACCAAAAATTTTTTTTGTCGTTTTTTTTTTTTTTGCAGTGCTAAGAACCCCATGGAACATGTGGTTTTTGTCTTTTTTTTTCTGAGTCAATAAGTTATTTGTATTCAACTTTCTTGTAAAAATCGTTTTCTACTTTTCGATTGTTTGAAAAATAATTTGCATGAAAAGCTTATAAGTGCTAATTTGTAAGGCACGAGCTCTCAAAATAGTTCGATCTTTGCAGTCGTATATAAATCTTCAATACTTTTTATGAAATTTTTATTCTACGATAGAGCGCATCAGTGGCGGCTAAATGAACTTATTTATATGGAAGCACTACTGAAAAGGAAACTTGTTCTGGTCATTGGGTTATAAGGCATTCTAGAAACTTGTTTTTCAGGGTTTAGTAAGATGCTGTTATACTTTACTGTGATCTTAAACTTATCTACGGCAGTTTAAGAACTAATGCAAACATTTTTTTAAGGAATTTCAACCTAATTTATTAAATTTAAACTTGATACGCTTGGTACGCTTACCTGAAGACCTCTAAATCTTAGCTTTTGCCTGTGCTTTTTGTTTTTTAAATTACTCCTTTGACCGCTACTTTGTTGTGAGGGTTTTTATCGAAGTCTTTAATTTTTCCTCAAACAACTGCATTGAAAACGGCCTACTTATTATTGACCTTGCGACAGAAAACAGGAAATTCCGCAGCAGTGGAACGGTGATTGGACTTCCTTTATTTTCTGTAACTCAAACGAAATTGAGTATTTGAAAAGACTTCTAGTTGTCAATGACGGCAAAAATATCAATTTTTTTATGGCTGCAGCGACAGTGTTTTTATCTGTTCTTACAAGTAGCTTAAGACTGTAGCTTTGGCAAGTTTCCAGGAGCACTAAACGCTAGACTCTAGTTTGCGACCAAAGCTGAAATCTCATCTAAATTGAAAATGACGGTTTTAATCAGTTGGCTTCAGGAAAGCCCCGTTAGATCTTGCACGGCATAACCGCTCCATCACGCTATTAGTAAGCACGAGGTAGCTTACTGAAGGCAACATTAAATGTCAAAGTTTTCGCAAAACTTTCACTGCAGTTTTTACATCTGGCAGTGCAAAGAGAACTAGTCAGCAGTAATTCGGATCTGTTCTTGATTAGCTTTCAAGTGAAGATTTCTCATAAATAGATTCAGCCTGTTTTTTTATACCGCGAGTTAGTAGTAGAAAGTTGCATCTAATTAATTTGCTTTTGCCATATGCCATAACCTTTGAGAACAAGATGGAAGTTTTTGTTTAAGAAGGAAGTAAAATTGTAGTAAAGTAGCTGTTTATTTGAAATGGTTTGGTGATAATTTTTGAACTGTTAAGCAGTTATCATTATCATCGTTGAAAAGAAGAAAATTTAGAGTTTAATAATTGTTCATTTTAAAGCTCAGGGTACCAAATCCATTTGTCTTTTAGCAAATGAGGTTCTATTTTGATTAGAAGGGACGAAAGAGTTTTTGAAAATAGAATTTTGGAGGTTTCAGGACTGTTACTGAAAGGATAGCTACTATCAACAGGCCAAATTGCTCAAGCAAAATCTGCGATCACAAGAATTTTTGCTACGCGGAAAAAAGACTTATCTCTTTAAAAGAAAGACAAAAATTAAAATTTTTGTTGTCGCTTGGTTCCAATCATAGAATGTTCAAAAATATAAATTTATATTGCACTACGCTTCTTTTTATGATACCAACTTTGTGATAAATGAAGGAAAAAATCTGTATAATAACAATCTCTTGGAAACAAACGGCTTTTCATTTAACACAAATGGAAGATATTAAAGCAGAACAGCCAACAATGTTTCTTCCCGGGTGACGTAGTGAGCGGACCGCACATCCTAATCAACAGGTTTCTAATATACGATTTGAATGACTATGTACCATATTTCTTCGAGTTTGCTCCTACTACTGTTTTAATTTCTGAAATTAAGCCGTAAAGACCTTAAACAACAAATGTTACAAATTTTGAAAGTTTTTTTTAAAAAGAGGTAAAGGATAAAACAAATTTTGTTTTTTCTCGCAGCTAAGATCTGCATTAATTATTTTTTATAATGAACCTTGTAGCGTTAGATATACAAGTTGAAAAGCAGCAACTCAAAAAATCAAGTTTACCTTCCAAGTTATAAAAGGCTATAGCAGAGTAAGTGGGAGGGCTATTGCCCAGGCGAAATCTGCTATTTTGCGCTGTGTGGACTGTAAAACCGAGCAACTAATTGTCAAAAGATCGATCGTCATCCATTTCACCAAAAACAATCGCAAGAGAACATGCTTTTAGTTTTTACAACTAGAAAAAATAATTTCTAAACATTGAGAAAAATTTATTTTCCACTGAACAAAAGATTTTAGCTTTTTGACGAATAGGCAGAGATCAGTATGGAACATTTAGTGAATAAGTAAATTCTGACTAGCAAAATAATCAGACTTTTATCCTATTGTTCGTCAAATAACCGTTCTCATTAAGATATTTTTCAGCCTTAGTAACAATCCTTTCTTTATCTAGATAAAACAATTTTACAGCGGTTCGGTAGTGTTTATAGAACAATACTGCAAAACCCATACCGGTCATCGACAGTGAAACACTTAAGATCGCCATTAAATCAAAATTCAACTTTACTGTAGAATTTTTGGAGCTATTGCACTTTGACGGTCTCAGCGCGCTGATTGGCTAATTACTTTTTAGCTTGAAAGCAGAAAAAGGGAACAGTGAAAAGGGGTAGCAGCAAAGGAAAGAGGAGAGTAGCAAAGGGAAAGAGGGGGGTGGGGGGGGGAAGGGAAAGCCGCGGCGCACCTTTTCTGCTTATTTGCATACATCTTAAAATGCTCGTACAGCATCTGCAGTATAGAGCGTTAGCAGCATTGTCGCTTTTGTTGCTACCAGTCCCGATTCCACACTCTCCAGCTCTGCACACTATTTCTGCACAGCCAGAACTTCTGCATGATTCTAAAACCGAAGGGAATAGTTTATCGTATACTCATCTCGTCCTCAAGCGAAGATGCCTTGTGCCTTATAAGCAGAGATTATCGAAGATATGTTGGTTTCATAAATATTTCTTAAAATGGATGCTTTAGGTCTATGAATCGTAGGACACTCGATGAGAAACTCGCGCTTTTAGACAAAGACTGCGAGCGGTGGACGGCCTCTTTTTAGCTGTCATGTCCGGTAAGCGTTTTTTCCTGTGGGGGTGAGGAAGACGGAGGTATGACTCTCTGTAGAAAGATGAAGTGGGGTAGGGTTAAGGGCAATGAGTACTTTAGGTGCAAAAGGAGCGGATATCGCAAGAAACTTGGTTTCTACAGCGGCACACTTTTGAGGGCTTTAAGTTGAGTTTGAATGATGTCTTTTGCTTGTCTTCATATTAGACAAAACACCAAAAGCTCACAGATGAAGACATAGCAGCTGAAATGCTCTGTGAAACGAGAGCAAGCTCAGCTACAACACTTTAGTAAACTATATGGACTTTTTCGAAGACGTTTGCACGGAGAATTTTAGGAGGCATTTTTCAGCACTGAGAAGTCTTGGTAAGGTAGTGGAGATTGACGAACGCTCTTTACTAGGAGAAAATACAAGAGGGGTAGGATAATAGAGAAACAGTGGTGTTTTGGGGGCATTAAGCGAGGGACCAATAAGTGTTTTGTCGTTCCTCTGGAACGACGAGATTCTGCTACTCTTCTGCCACTGATCGGGCAGTGTGTTGTTCCAGGAAAAACTATAATTTCTGTTCAATGAGCGGCATATAGTACCATCAAAAATCTGACAGAAGGGTATGAGCATGAGACTGTTAACTACAGTCTCCACTTTATTGATCCTGAGACCGGTACTTACACAAACACCATTGAGTCTCTATGGCAAAAATCCAAAAAGGGTCGTAAATCAAGGTATCGGATTGAGAGGGCACTTTTGCAATTCTGCATGGATCACTTTGTATGGGAAAAATTATATGGGGATAACGCTCTGTACCCTCTTCGGTCGCAAATTCAGGAGCACTATACACCGCCTCGTTGGCGAATAAAGTAGGGGCTGGTGTTTTTCAGAACGTGCAAAAGACGGAAAGACGGTTGTTAGTCCCGGTCCCCACTGCAGACACGAACCACCAACTGCTATTTGAGGTTGCACATCGCACAGCACTACACCATGCATCACCAGAGCGAGTCTTCCCTCATCGACGTCTCTGCCCTCCCGTTACTACAAAAAGTTGAACCCGTCCATATTTTCCGTAGATAAAATGAGATCGTCAAAGTGCAATAGTCCCAAATTTTTTTCTTTTGGATGCCACGACACGAGGCAAATAAGTAGGGGAACTTTGAGATGTGAAATGCAGTTAAACCAGTTATCATTCTCAAGTGATCAGTTGTTTGATAATTTCTTCATTATTATAAAATCATTGCAGGAATATTTGCATCAGATATTACCTATGTTTACTCTTAAAAATAAATGAAACAACCTTTTCACCACCGACTTTTTTTTATCCAGCACACAAAATTAACTTAATTTATAGGCCCAAAGTCACACGTCCCGGCCCAGACAATTCACTTTATTGGTCTGGCGTCTAGTTTTCTTAGGAAATTTTCAACAATAAATATTTGCAAAAGCAAATAAAACAACCTCTAAACAAACGATGCTATTTTTGTTTTGATCGTTAAGAATTAGAAATTCGATTTTTTCCTTCGTATTACTCATGTTTTCGCTGTTGACCCACAAAATGTAGTAAGTTGTCTTAATTACATTCACTGTAAAGCAGTATTATATATCTCTGCCGCGACGACACGCGAAATTGCTTGAAGGGCCGCAGACAGTCACGAAGCAGATATGACCCTGAGGGGATGCCTGAGGGATGAGGCTATTTTGTGGATCATTGCCAAGACGAAAGGTATAAAAGAGCAAAGTATACAGTAAGGAAGTTACTGCTTTTTTGTCGTAATCGACAATAGAAGCTACTGGTCGCGGTGATTTTGTCTTTCCTGCCCGTTGTATAATTTTATCAATTTTCCTTTTAAGTTTGTTTTTGTTCTTCTTATTTTAGTTCCAGATAGTTAATCGTTTATTGTTTTCCAATCCCCTCGAGTTTTGCTATTTATTACTTGTTTAAGTTGTTTCATTTTTGTTCATCGTGATAATTCCTTTATCTTCTTTGGTTGAGGATCATGTCTTGGTCTTTACAGCCAGCGTCGATTCTGAATTCACAAGTTAATAGTTGGAGTTATGGATGAGCTGTGCTCAGAGAGCTTTCCTGTACTCTGTATCTTACAACCTTCGTCGTCTGTTCGTTTGTAATAATCGAAGGTTTTTCGTAAGTAAAAGATTATCCAAGTTAAGCGTTCGACAACGTTGTCACTTCACGTCAAACAAATTCAGTCCTTGGTATACTGCTGCAGGCATCGGCAACTACGATTGCTTGCAGTTTAAAACTGCAGAAACAAGGATCCCTGTAGAGATGCTGTAGA